CCCCCGGCCCTAACTGCACCCCCAGGCCCTGGGGGTTTTGGCACACGGGATTGACAGGATTCTGCTGTTTGTGCCGGGTGGCAGAGCTGGCCGGATCCCCCTGGGACAGCTAATGCTGCCCTGAACCATCCCTGTTAGAGACTGGGAGGGGACAAGTGTGGTCCTGCTGGCTGCTGTCTTTGGGGAACTGGTGATCACATCACAGGAACATCTTGGGACAGATCAGCATGCACCAGCACCACGGCACAGGGCCACGAGCTCCATTCCTGGCCCCAGCACTGACTCAGGTGCAGGGTCACCCCTCTGGCACAGGTATGTCTGCCACACAGACAGCCCCGCGAGCTCAGAGCCTCCTCAGGAATGAGCCCACAAATCTGCTACATGGCATCCCAGAGACCTTCCATGGGATGGCCATGCAAGCAGACTGGTAGAGCACAGCCTGGCTCTACCCCGCAAAAAAGCAGAAACAACTGAGTTATTCTGACTTTTATTTCATTGCTTCTTAGTCCACACAGTCGGTATAAAATCAGAAAAGCAAAGCAAAAAAAAAAAAAAAAGAAAAAGAAAAAAATGAAACAAAAACAACAATAGCAAGACAGTGTCTGGAGTCCTCAGAAGGCAGCCTGGGGTCTGGGCAGGTGCACGTTCAATTCATGGCCAGACACATCGCTGACGCACAGAGGACAGACATCTCGCTCTGGCAGCAAAGACCGACAGGGCTCCACCCAGAGCTGTTTCTGTTCCTCTTGACCACGGCAGAAAAAAGGAACCTTGGTTATAAATGCTTTATTAAAAATAATAGTAAGAGCAAGTCTAAGTACAAAAGCAGTTATAGCTCATTTATATTACACAGAATTATTTCTCATTTCTAGCTTTGTTGTTTACCTCAAGATTGTTAACTGAATTTCCAGTGAATAAGGTTAAATGGCTAGCAATATAAGGAATGGTAAATAGATAGCACCATTTCATATATCTGGTATTTGATTTCATAGATATACTGGGTTTGCTTCTTTCTCTTTGGTAGGTTAACTCCACGGCAAGGATAAAGCCCGTTTCACGGTTGGGAGCATCCGTACCCCGGCAGCTTGGCTCGGCACGGCACACACCCCAGCCCCGCTGGCACAGGCACCAGGGACACCCCCAGAGCCCACACGGGCAAAGGAGGACAGCCCATGCTGGACTGCAATTCAACCTAAGTGATTTAAAAGCCCAAATTCCCAGCGGGTGTGGTGGCAAGGCAATGGGACTTAGGCACATAAGTCATTTAGGCACTTGGGGCAATCAAAGCCTTTGCTCCAAAATCCTTCAAACCTTTCGGAAGTGTCTCCCGTCAAATCTGGACGTGCGCTTCAGTTACCAGGATCACAGCATGTGGCCAGAGAGGGGACCAACCTTCAGGCTGGTGTAAACAGGCATAACTCCGATTTACGCCAGCCTAAAACCATTCAGACCTGGGGTTTTCTGATGGTTCAATATGGGCCAGGAGGGGGAAGGAGAGTTCAGGTCAAAGAGGATTTTGCATGAGAGAAAAATCACCACGCTCTTGTTACAATGTTAGGACTAATAGTTCCTTAGGCACTTGCTTTAGGCTTTAAAACATAGCGTATGGTCAACAAAAGCAAACAATACTATGTACATATATGTAAAAAGTGTTATAAATAGGTTTTTTAAACCATAGATACTATATACATCTTCAATTAACAAGTAACCCTCTGAGTGTTTCCTTTTGGGGTCGGTTGGGTTTGGTTTTGGTGGGAGGGTTTATTCCTTTTTTTTTTTTTTTCCCCTTTTTTTGGGTTAATTTTGTTTTCCGTTTTCTCGTCTATTTTCCCCCGCCTCCGTCTCCTCCGTGGATGTCATGAGTGCCCTTGTCACGCCACGCTGCCTCCCGTGGTATCACTCCCGCTTCCGTAGGATGACGTAGATGATGCCGCTGGCCAGGGCCAGGGGGAAGGCCAGCCACGCCAGGATATAGGCGAAGCCATAGGAGGTGTTCTCCGAGGCTTCGTGCCAGTCCGTGTGCCTCACTGTGAAGATGGCCGCGCCGCTCATCACGCAGAGCCCTACCAGGGAAGCGCACAGAGGAAGGGGTTAGCAATGACACAGGTGGAGCAGTTCCCTCCTGGAAATCCAGAGATGAAGAGGATAATACCCAACACCAGCACGGGAAACTGTTTGTCTTATTGCCCCCTTGTATCTCGTCTCCTGGAAAACGATGGTATGATCTGGGGGGGTGTGATGCTGTGGGCTCTGCCCCGGATGCAGATGAGTGGGGATCTCTCTGCCAGGCTCTGTGTAAAGCTGGAGCCCCTGGAACAAGCAAAGCTGGAGCATTGCCTGGGTTAACCCAAGAGGAAATGGCCTCAAGTTGTGCCAAGGGAGGTTCAGATTGGATATCAGGAAAAATTTCTTCACTGAAAGGGTCATCAGACACTGGAACGGGCTGCCTAGGGAAGTGATTGAGTCCCCATCCCTGGAGGGATTTAAAAGATGGGTAGATGAGGTGCTCAAAGATCTGGTTTAGTAGTGGACAGGTATGGTTGGAGTGGATGATCTCAAAGGTCTTTTCCAACCAAATGATTCTATGATCCCTCAGGCAACCACTGGGCATCTCCCAGCTCTGGGCTGCTGCTCCAGACCAGCCCCACTCCCTTGGGTAGCTCATTTAAAACCCAGACTGTAGCCTGAACCACACTACCTGAGGTGCTGCAAGAGGTCAGACACAAAGCTTGGGTTTTTTAAAGCACAGAAGTTTCTTTATCGCCTGCCCAGGCAAGCGCAGCTGGCGCTGAGGATGCTCTGGCCAGGCAGGTCTGTGCTCTGCGATCCTCGTCCTCCTCTGGTGCTGCATGAGGAGCTCCACTGCAAACCCCGCTCTCTGCAAAACCCTCATCCCTCTTCCCCAGCTCCTGGTGTCCATCCTTGCCAGCCCCAGGCCAGCACAGGTCCTCAAGGGCTGTCCGGCCAGGCCCAGCTCTGGTAGGCAGCATTTTAGCTTTGTTGCAAAAACAACCCATCAGCATGGGGGACTGCCCAGAGCTAACACAAAGCCACCTCTATTTCTGCCCAAAAACAAGCTCTTTCAGTCAATCCCAGCAGTTCTATTATACAGTTGCGGGGCTGTTGTTGGAGCAGAGTTCCAAATCCCCTGCATGGACCTTGGGACCACCTACATTTAACCACGGTGATATTTCAGCTGTAATTCCACTTGACACTGCTCCTTTGTTCTGGGAAAGTGCAGAAGTGGGAATACGCTTCATTAACGCGCCACTGGTGCAGTTTCCATTCTCTAAGCACAAGAGTCAACTCCCACTGCCCCGGCCCATGCAGAGAGAGCACAACAATTGTCTGGCAATGCTGGTGGGATAGAGAACAGGCGTGCAGCCACGCCGGTCACCTACAGACAGCAGAAAATACAGCAGCAATTGTCCGCAGGAGGAATTTGGCAAAATGGAGGCGATGGTTTCTGCAGCATCTGCACTGCCTTTGGCCCAGGGAAAATGCTCGGAAGGGAAGGACAGCTGTGTTCAGCCGCTTGCACCAACACGAGCAATAACATCAGCGCTTCAGAGCCTGATTTCAGAACACACTCCAGTCTTGCTTTGACAGCCAGGAGGGCAAATGCTGCCTAACATAGAATCACAGAACGGTTGGGGTTGGGAGGGTCCTTAAAGCTCATCCAGTCCCAACCCCCCTGCCAGCAGCAGGGACACCTTCCACTAGACCAGGTTGCTCAAAGCCTCATCCAACCTGGCCTTGAACACTTCCAGGGAGGAGCAGCCACAACTTCCTTGAGCAACCTGTTCCAGTGTCTGACCACCCTCACAGGAAAGAATTTCTTCCTAATATCTAATCTAAAGCTCCCCTCTTTCAGTCATCAGCTGTTCCTGCAGGTCTGTGCATTCCAACCCAGCCCTGTAGACAAGCTGGGATGAATGCTGGTGCATCCTCATGCTCAGCTCTTCAATGCAGGGCTTTGCAAAAAGCTGTAGGACATGCATAAGGCCCAGCCCAGCCCTCTCCACCCCACAGGGACAGCAGCTCCAGACTGGGAGGAATGAAAGAAAAGGGATAAAAGTGATGCTGAGGCTGGCGAGAGTGATGGAGAAGTTGGGTCAAGCCCTGAGAGGCCCAAACCAATGTCTCTCCATGGTGGGCTTACACAGCTGTCGGAAGGTACTTTAGATGAATACACCGTGGATGTGACAGACCCACCAAGGATGGAGGGGAGCTGCTGAGGGCCCTTCGGTGCCTCTGCAATGGCTGACATCTCATCAGGGCCAATTCAGCTAGATTTCAGGGCACGTTTCCAAGCAGTGTGGAGAAGGTGCTGGGGATGCATCCCTACCCTCCCACTGCACAACAGACCCAAGTGACCTCCATGCATCTCTTCTTGCCTGTACCTCCCCTCCCCAGATCCCCTGAGCTACAGACAAAGTCACATTGGAGACCAGCTCCTTCTCTCATTCCTGGCTCTCAGGGCACCACTGCCCAGCTTTGCCACCCAACAGCACCCAGCAGTCCTGCACTGGCATCCACTGGTCAGGCTCCAAACCTGGAAACCTTCAGCTTTGACAAGCTGCGTCACCCTGGGAGGAGTTGCAGGGTGATGGGGAGCTTCAGGAGGAGTTTCTTCATCCCCTCCCAGAAAGAGGGAGGTCCTCTCCAGCTCTGCTGGAGCTGAGGACAAAGCACTCATGTGGGTAAGACCCTACCCCTGGCAGACCTGCATCAGGCCTCTGTGGTGCCAGGGCTTTGCAAGGCATGGACAAACACCTGCAAAGCCTGAAGGCCACAGGAATGTCCTCCATTGGCTTTAGACAGCAGCCATCTTTCATAGCAAGCTGCAAGGAGACCCCGTCAGGCTCAGCTCCTTGACCAGAAGAGCCATCCATACCTCCTGGCAGCACTGGCATGGCTATGTCCAGCTTCCTACCAACACCTCTAAAATTCAGGGTTACAAACACCACAGCTGCCCTGAACCCCTGCCTGCATCCCTAGCTGGGGACCACAGCAAGGATGGCCACCAGCACCCACCTCTGCGTGTTCCATCCAGACCCAGACCTCTGCCTATGGGTCCCCTAGGCCATGGGAAATCTTCATGGGAATCACCTCACACTTTCCCTGTCCTTTGCACTGTGCTGGGGAGTGACTTAACACAGCAAGGAAAGAGCCAGCAGGTCTGCAGTCTGAACCTGCATCTCCTTAGGACACCCAGCACAGCATGGACAGGAGGGTTGTAATCCCATTTTCTCCTCTGAGAAACAGGATTCGCCAGCAATCACTCAGGAGAGAGAAGCCTTCTGCTCCCAGATCTATTAGACAAGCTCTCAGGCAGATAATTACATTATTAATGCCCATTTCCCCTCCTTGTCTCCATGGCTGTAATGGGTTTCTACACATCTATCTTTCCAGAGACAGTGAACTGATATGAACTCATCACCTGCATTATGGCCAAGCAGATACATCTATACCTGATTTCATGCCACACTTGTTAATAAAGCCTAGCTCTAAACTTCTCCAGAGTTTGCAAAAGCTATTCACTAAGAGGATGCTCAGAAACTTCAGATAAAGTTCAGTGGATGAGCTTTTCCACTGATCTAGTGTCAGGACCTTGGGTGGCTTTTAGTTTAACATCTAAAGTTCTAGCAAACTATTAGTCTCCTTCCCAGACAGCCTGTCATAATTTAGCCAGAACCTCATTGCACAATTTAATTTTTCTAGTCTGAATGCTTGAAAATCCTCTCAACATGGAAACACAAATGGAGCCAGTGGCTTTACAGCATCTATATTTGGAGAACTGCAACGTAGGACATGAACCGTGGGTCATTTCCAGCGCTGAGTTCTTGAAGAGTTAAAAATAGCAGCCGACAGTTCAAAGTCAGCTGGCTCACCCTGCACGCTCCAGCGGCTCTTTGCTGATGTGGAAAGCACCAGGCCCCCTTATGGCAAGTTTATAAATAATCATCAGGTCCTCTTTTGCCAGAAGAGCATGGTCACTACTTCCCCCACCCTGCCAGCAGTTGTGGAAACCTCGCCCAGCCCAGTGGAGCTGGGACCCAGAGCCAGCGCAGCCACCCTGAACCATCAGCATCCCACCCTGAGCCATGAAGAATATCCAGAGCTGCAAGATAAACTCACCCTTGGTCCGGCAGCCCAACCTGCCCCACCACCCAGGACCACCAGCACAGCTCTGCCTCCTGCTCGGCAGGCCTGGCACCCTGTCCCTCTGAAACCTCCCTGGCTGGGGCAGCAACCTTCTTGCACCTTCCACAATGTGAGGGCAGAGAGCTGGGAGGCATAACGTGCCCTGACAGCTGGACCCCATCCTGGGGCGTGTGAGACCTTAACAGACCCAAATTATTCATCCACCTTTCCCTTCATTGAGCCATGCAGGAGCCAGCTCAGGGGCTCTCCTGCTTCAGTACACAAGAGCATGCTTGTTTCCATCATTACCTCCTCCTCCTCTGCTTGAAAGCCCTTTTCCCACCAGTGCCAGCCCCATTGATCAGCCCTCACTTACCAGCAAGGATTTGGAAGATTCCAGTAACATAAAACCGCCCGCCCTTGGTGAGCGTGAACAGCTGGCAAAAGAAGAGGAACAGGGACAAGACGCTGAAGATGACGGAGAGGATCATCATCGCTTGGACAGACTGCAGCCATTCTGCGGAAAGAAAGAGAGAAGGAAACCTCAGCGCAGGCACCACAGACAGCGAGTCCTCACCACAGCCCATGGCCTCAGCATCATCCCCCGTGCCACCATCCCACCCCTGGTTCCCACTGAGTTTCTTCACAGCTGGGGAATGCTGGTGTTGCAACAACTAGTGAGGTCCTCAGCACAGGCACAATGCTGCCTGGGATTTGGGAGGACGTGTGCATGGACCAGCGTGCTGGGGTAAAATGAATCGCAAGGCCACACATTTTCTCAGGGAGCATTGGTAATAAAATATGAGCAGAGGTGTCAGCTCCGATTTGAAGCCTGCAGAAATGAAGACAAAGCCTCTCCCCCAACTTCATGTCAGGCCCTGGGAGTTCAGCTGTATTAGAAACACAAAAGCCATGTGCAACAAGCCATGAGACACCGAGCTGGCCAAGTTCAGAGGTAAAATAAATACACAGCGAGTGAAAACACCCTCTGCCCTTATGGAGTCAAACCTTTTGGAAAGAGCCTTCCCCAGCTGCCAAATGCAGCTGCCTCCCAGAGCAGACTAGTTAAACCAGCCCCTGTGTGAGTCACTGCCCAGCTATTTCCAGGCTTCGTGGGTGTGTAACTCCTCGAGTAAAAAAATATAAATAAACAAGCTAAATGCCGCTCCATCCCATGAGCTGCCACAGACTGACAGAAAGAGGCAGTGCCTCACAGCACCGGGACGGGGCTGTGCTCACCAATACCTCTGCCCTTCCCTTTCCTTACAAAGTCTGACATCAGAATGAGTATTTGCAGCTTTCCTTGAGAGGTCTTTAGGATGCAACATTGATTAATTCACCACAAAAGCCAGGCAGGACTCGGTCCAGGTAAACTGAGGCACAAACCACCCAGTGAAAGGCAGAAAAATCATGCTTTGGGCTGGATCCTCAGACAGGGGAGAATTAGTCTCAGTTTTAGTCCCATGTTCCTGCCCCAGTTTTACTCCCACTGGCTGCACGAAACGGATTTCTGCAGCAAATGTCTGAAAAAACTTCCAAATAAAGCTACACTTCAGCTTAGCAACCTTCACAACTTGGTGCCACAAATGAGGCCGTCTGGGGCTGCCCAGAGCAGTGTCTGCTCCCAGAAAAGCAATCACACTTCCCCACCAAATCCTTGCAAGCTGCATTCACAGAGCTGAGAGCAGAATTTGAACCTGGGAGTGAGGTAGAGCCTTCAACTGAGACAGAAATGATGATCCACACCTGAGGCCTCCCAGCAGCTCCATGCCTGTGGGGAACATCCTGTTTAGTAATGTCTGGATCATCAGTTCTACCTCTTGTCTTTGCATCTTGCCTCCTGACGTTCATGTAATGGCACAAATTCCAGCCCTGTTCACCAAAACAGACCCAAACCACGCAGAGCAGCCTCTGCTCACAGCAGACAGCTTTTTCCTTCCCCCGCTTCTCATGCTTCCTGCACCAAACTACTCTGCAGCATTAACAGGCCCTGCTAAAGAGCTGCTGTGCTTCACTCATTTCAATGCCACCAGGTCTGCATCCATGTGCACCGGCTGCTGCTGTTCCTTAAGAACGTTCCTGTCACTTCCAGGAAATCCCAGTGTGGCTTTTACACTGATGTGCACACAACATGTCCCACATTCATCTCTCCCAACTGGCCAGGCAGGGAAACCCCTGCCCTGCCTTGACCCTACCTGACACTTCAGCTCTGGCCATGCTAAACCAGTGGGCAAGGGAGGGGATGAAGCAGCTCAAGTGTGGCTAAAAATCAAGTCATAAATCATTGCTCAGATGGGGTCAGAGAAGTATGGTTAGGGGGTGTCCAGCTGCTGAACTGCAATCTCCTTCCAACTTCAGCAGAGAGAGAGCTCCCAGCCCAGGTCTGGGAAGCTGAGCTCTTGCCTCTCCCCTTCCTGAGCCCTAAAGCCAGGTCCAGCTCCTTGCATCGCTGGAGCCAAAGCCTGCCCAGCCCCAAGCTCCGAAGTTTGGTCCAGGACCCAGGAAGCCAAGTCTTTTGTGATTTCAAAGGCCACAGGATCCGGCCCAGAGAGGAGCTCTTTCTGCTCAGAGGTGGATGCTCTGACTGCCAGTTATTTTAGGAGAAGGCTGTCTAGACGGAAAGCTGAGCTGAGCTGAGCTGCCCTTTTAATTGCATCCGCCTCCCCGTGCCTCTTTTTTGGTTCTGAACGTGAACAATTTATACGGGCTTTTCAAAATCCCATTGTAATAAAGAGCCGTGTCAGAGGAACATAAAGCCAGGCACTGAGATGGGGGAAAGCCCCCGTGACCGGAGGGGTTTCGGCAGCCAGCCATGCCGCTCTGCCGCAGCCAGAGAGCGGCAACCGCATGAGCTCAGGAGCAGGGAAATGAAGAGATGATCCCAGAGCTCTGGGCCTGCTCACAGCCAGCCCTTTGCTGACTTGTATTGGCCTCCTTTGTAAAATCCAGGGAAAGGATCCCCAGCTCAGGACTCACAGACACACACGTTCAAGCTGCCATACTCCCATTACACCCCAGCCCAGCTGCCCACAGACTTCAGTTGTATTACGCCACCTAACTGCCTTTAATTCACTTGAAAACACCACTATACCTGCAGATAGGACTGCTACCTCCTCAACTCTGTATGCTTTTAACTCCTTTGCTATGAGCTCTGTGTCCTACCTATAGGCTTTAAAAAATAAAGTGAGTTTTCTACAGGGAGGTCTGGGCCCCATGAGCTGTACTGCGGGGCTGTCAGCACTGTTTACTCCCACACTGTTATTTGTGGTTTCCCCTGGGCAGCAAGTCGGTTATTCCATTTTTTTCTTGCATCTCTTCAGCTCAGTTTATATCTTTGTTCTTCAGGAGGAGGAAGAAAAGGAAACAGAGTGGAAAGGACAGATAACGCCCTGCACGCCGCTTCCGGAGAGGACCCATCGGCAGCGTTTTTAGAGCCCTTTCAAGCAGTCAGAAATGAAGTAAGATGTTTTTACAAAACAAATTTGAAAATTTCCCTAAGCTCTACAAGCCCTGATGTGCTCATGACACCACTTATAACAGCAGGAAAAAGATTTCATCCATGAGATGCTGAAGACCATATTTCACTACCTTAAAATCTAACATGAAAGAAACCCAGAGCAGAAACTGAAACCTAGAGCAGAAATTGAAGCCTAGAGCAAAAATTGAAACCTAGAGCAGAAATTGCAGCTGAATCCCCCAGAAAGACAGTATCTAATCCAACCCCTTCTAGCAAAGCCCCAGCCCTTCTTGCAGGATGGTTTTATACCCAGACAAGGGGTACAGCTGAGCAGGATTGATGGGGCAGGTAGAAACATGCCCTTGGCCAGGAGCAGAGAGCCTTAAAGGACAGGCAATGCCTCCCCAGGGATTAATTCACTGCCCTGTTGTAGACAGCCTATCCTCTGTTGACCCAGCCAAGAAGAAAGAATAAAGTGAAAACTGAAAAGAAACTTCTTTGAGCAATCAGCTTATATATTCACTGGAAGACATCAGTAAATTAGTGCTGTGCATACCTGTGTGCCGTGACCTCCAGCTGATGGTAATGTTTTGCCTGCACAGCTTTCCCTTTGCAAACTGCGTGTGCACTGTACACTTCAAAAGCAACCACTTCTCAGGAAGAAAATATCCACTGAGGAGGTAACAGCAGCATGTAGCATATACAAAACTAGAGGGAGAGTAAATTCATGACCACATCTGCCTGTTAAAACCTGCTCCTTCAATGCTGCAAACTAAATATCAGCAGGGTCAGGAACAACACATGCATCTGCTGCCAGAGGTACCAGTCCAGGTCTGCCAAGAAAAGCCATGTTTTCTGAGCAGTTTTTCCAAAGCAGACTCTCAAGCTTCAAGGTCTGATCAAGAACCTGAACCCAAACTTGCATCCTCACCTACAAGGCTGACAGGTCACATCACAAGCACTGGGGCTTGCAATGCTTTTAAACCTTGACATTCAAACACCCCTTAAGAGGGTCAAAAAAGGGTGAACTGAAGATGCAGAAATACTAGCTCAGTTGCATTATTCTTCAGACCACTGCCCCTTGGCAAGGCACCGTAGCAACCCAGAATGGCACAAAAGCTCAGCTACCTGCAGTGCTACTCCTGAGCAGCACAGACCCCCCCTGCCACCACCCACAGCCCCACTGCTCAAAGCAAACATCTCTCTTGTTGAGGAGAACAGCATCACGGTTCGCCAGCCACATCCAGCAGAGATGCTAAGCTCTCCTAGGGAAAAAGCAGCTCCATGACATGGCAACTTTCTTCTGCTCCGGTCCCAGATCTCCCATCAGCATGAGGTCCAACCTTCCCCGACTGCGCTTTGGGCTGCTGGATGCTCAAGCTGAGAAAAGCAGGTTTTTCACCCAACAGTTGCTCCTTTCCTATCCTCCTATGTCCAGTTCCTGGAGTGGACCACAGGGTATTCGATTGAGGTATTCCTGGAAATCCCACCAGAAAAGGGGGATTTAAAGAGCCCCCAAGTTATTTGTAAGGGCTAGGGGATGAGCAGGTGGGAAACACCAGGGCTGCGGGGAGGCAGTGAATGAACACGGTGCTGCAATTCCTGCTCAAGACTTCCTGGTCCTCTTCTGTAAGCTCCTTTCAGAAGGAGATGAAAACTTCAAAGTCCTCTTTTCTCCTCTTGTCCTCTTTTCCTCTCAGCTGTCCTCCCTTTTGCCTTCCCCGTGAAGCTCCATCCAAGAAACCCCTGAAGCCAGGAAGTCCACAGCTCTCCAGAGTTGCCACATTCAAATGTGAGTGGTCTTCAGAGCATGGCCTGTCCTCCACATCTCTGTGGTTCAGCCAAGAGGCCTCAGCAGCTGTCCCATTTATTGTCGAAGCTCACATCCCACAGAGGCAACCTGTGATGCTGCCGAGGCAGCAGAAAGCTGCTGGCACCATGAAAAACACCCCCAACAGTTCCACGATGCCCGAGTTGGTTCCTCTCCAAGACCTTTAGTATGGTGGCTCTGACCTCCTTTTGGCTTGTGTGTGAGAGCAAGCTGAGGTTGTAGGTACATC